ACAGCAACCCCCAGGGAGGTACTACCGTCCTGTGGTAGTTGGTTGACAGCAAACCCCCAGGGAGGTAACTACCGTCCTGTGGGGAGTTGGTTGACAGCAACCCCCAGGGGGGGTACTACCGTCCTGTGGTAGTTGGTTAACAGCAACCCCCCGGGAGGTACTACTGTCCTGTGGTAGTTGGTTGACAGCAACCCCCAGGGAGGTACTACCTCCTGTGGTATTTGGGTTTACAGCAACCCCCAGGGAGGTACTACCGTTTTTGTGGTAGTTGGTTGACAGCAACCCCCAGGGAGGTACTACCGTCCTGTGGTAGTTGGTTAACAGCAACCCCCAGGGAGGTACTACCGTCCTGTGGTAGTTGGTTGACAGCAACCCCCAGGGAGGTACTACCGTCCTGTGGTAGTTGGTTGACAGCAACCCCCAGGGAGGTACTACCGTCCTGTGGTAGTTGGTTGACAGCAACCCCCAGGGAGGTACTACCGTCCTGTGGTAGTTGGTTGACAGCAACCCCCAGGGAGGTACTACCATCCTGTTGGGGTAGTTGGTAGACAGCAACCCCAGGGAGGTACTACCGTCCTGTGGTAGTTGGGGTTTACAGCAACCCCCAGGGAGGGTTACTACCGTCCTGTGGTAGTTGGTAGACGCAACCCCCAGGGAGGTAACTTTCCGTCTGGGTAGTTGGTTGACAGCAACCCCCCGGGAGGTACTACCGTCTGTGGTAGTGGGGAGACAGCAACCCCCAGGGAGGTACTACCGTCCTGTGGTAGTTGGTTGACAGCAACCCCCAGGGAGGTACTACCGTCCTGTGGTAGTTGGTAGACAGCAACCCCCAGGGAGGTACTACCGTCCTGTGGTAGTTGGTTGACAGCAACCCCCAGGGAGGTACTACCGTCCTGTGGTAGTTGGTAGACAGCAACCCCCAGGGAGGGGATACCGTCCTGTGGTAGTTGGTTGACAGCAAAACCCCCCAGGGAGGTTTCTACCGTCCTGTGGTAGTTGGTAGACAGCAACCCCCCAGGGAGGTACTACTGTCCTGTGGTAGTTGGTAGACAGCAACCCCCAGGGAGGTACTACCGTCCTGTGGTAGTTGGTAGACAGCAACCCCCAGGGAGGTACTACCGTCCTGTGGTAGTTGGTAGACAGCAACCCCCCAGGGAGGTACTACCGTCCTGTAGTAGTTGGTAGACAGCAACCCCCAGGGAGGTACTACCGTCCTGTGGTTGGTAGACAGCAACCACCCAGGGGGGTACTACCGTCCTGTGGTAGTTGGTAGACGCAAACCCCAAGGGAGGTTTCTACCGTCCTGTGGTGTTTGTTGACAGCAAACCCCGAGGGAGGTACTACCGTCCTGTGGTAGTTGGCAGACAGCAACCCCCCCGGGAGGTACTACCGTCCTGTAGTAGTTGGTAGACAGCAACCCCCCAGGAGGTACTACCGTCCTGTGGTAGTTGGTAGACAGCAACCACCCAGGGAGGTACTACCGTCCTGTGGTAGTTGGTAGACAGCAACCCCCAGGGAGGTACTACCGTCCTGTGGTAGTTGGTAGACAGCAACCCCCAAGGGAGGTACTACCGTCCTGTGGTAGTTAGTTGACAGCAACCCCCAGGGAGGTACTACCGTCCTGTGGTAGTTGGTAGACAGCAACCCCCCAGGGAGGTACTACCGTCCTGTGGTAGTTGGTAGACAGCAACCCCCCAGGGAGGTACTACCGTCCTGTGGTAGTTGGTAGACAGCAACCCCCCAGGGAGGTACTACCGTCCTGTGGTAGTTGGTAGACAGCAACCCCCCCCCCCCCAAGAGGTTACTACCGTCCTGTGGTAGTTGGTAGACAGCAACCCCCCAGGGAGGTACTACCGTCCTGTGGTAGTTGGTAGACAGCAACCCCCCAGGGAGGTACTACCGTCCTGTGGTAGTTGGTAGACAGCAACCCCCAGGGAGGTACTCCTTGTATGACCCACACGAGTTTAGTGCTTCTTTTATATAATAATCCATTTCGTACATTAACATTAAAAGTTGTCACAAGAGTTGAATGTACGATTTACTGAAATAGTTTGTGTATTACGGTCTGTGTTTGCTAGGGTCTTGTCTGCTTGTTGTGCAGACTGAATAAGTAAGTTTTTTCAGGTATACACAAATACAGTTACATAGATTATCATACATAGCAGCAGTATTAGTATTAGCATTAGTATTTTTTGAACCTTTCATAATGAAGTAGCTATTTGTTCTTATTCTTGTGTCTGGTACTTCTGTGTATCATATTCAAATAAATAAATAAATAAAACTGGTCCATCCATTTAAAAATTATGGTTACGATTATAACCTTTTAACATTCTACAGCAGCTTCAAAGATTTTCTTGCAGCACAGCGTGAGTTGTAAGTGGGAATTATCTCTCAGCATGGTATATTCCACCGTTGGCAAGACAGGAGAATATAGCCCAGCTGGGTGAGACTAGGGTGTTCCGGTCATGTGATACTCATTAATCCCCGCCCCTCCACCTTTATCCTACTCCTCCTCCTCTATCCTACTCCTCCTCCTCTATCCTACTCCTCCTCTATCCTACCCTCCTCCTCTATCCTTACCCCTCCTCCTCTTTTCTACCCCTCCTCCTCTATCCTACCCTCCTCCTCTATCCTACCCCTCCACCTCTATCCTACCCCTCCTCTATCCTACCCCTCCTCCTCTATCCTACCCCTCCTCCTCTATCCCCCCTCCTCCTCTATCCCACCCCTCCTCCTCTATCCCCCCCTCCTCCTCTATCCCACCCCTCCTCTATCCCTCCCGCTCTATCCTACCCCTCCCGCTCTATCCTACCCCTCCCCTCTATCCCACCCCTCCACTCCTATCCCACCTCTATCCTACCCCTCCTCCTCTATCCTACCCCTCCTCTATCCTACCCCTCCTCTATCCTACCCATCCTCCTCTATCCCACCCCTCCTCCTCTATCCCCCCTCCTCTTCTATCCCCTCCCGCTCTATCTTACCCCTCCACCTCTATCCCACCCCTTCTCCTCTATCTTACTCCTCCTGGAGGTTACCTGGAGGTTATTCCGGGGATCAACGCCCCGCGGCCCGGTCCATGACCAGGCCTCCCGATGGATCAGGGCCTGATCCATCCCACCCCTCCACCTCCATCCATCCCACCCCTCCACCTCCATCCTACCCCTCCACCTCCATCCCACCCCTCCACCTCCATCCACCCCTCCACTCCATCCCACCCTCCACCTCCATCCCACCCCTCCACCTCCATCCCACCCTTCCACCTCCATCCATCCCTCCACCTCCATCCCACCCCTCCACCTCCATCCCACCCTTCCACCTCATCCCATCCCTCCACCTCCATCCCACCCTCCACCTCCATCCCACCCCTCCACCTCCATCCCACCCCTCCACCTCCACCCACCCTCCACCTCCATCCCATCCCTCCACCTCCATCCTACCCCTCCACCTCCATCCCACCCCTCCACCTCCATCCCACCCTCCACCTCCATCCCACCCCTCCACCTCCATCCCACCCCTCCACCTCCATCCCATCCCTCCACCTCCATCCTACCCCTCCACCTCCATCCCACCCCTCCACCTCCATCCCACCCCTCCACCTCCATCCCACCCTCCACCTCCATCCCATCCCTCACCTCCATCCTACCCCTCCACCTCCATCCCACCCCTCCACCTCCATCCCATCCCTCCACCTCCATCCCATCCCTCCACCTCCATCCCACCCCTCCTCCTCATCCCATCCCTCCACCTCCATCCTACCCTCCACCTCCATCCACCCTCCACCTCCATCCCACCCTCCACCTCCATCCCACCCCTCCTCCTCCATCCCATCCCTCCACCTCCATCCTACCCTTCCACCTCCATCCCACCCTCCACCTCCATCCTACCCCTCCACCTCCATCCCACCCCTCCACCTCCATCCCACCCCTCCACCTCCATCCCACCCTCCTCCTCCATCCATCCCTCCACCTCCATCCCACCCTCCACCTCCATCCTACCCTCCACCTCCATCCCACCCCTCCTCTCCATCCCATCCCTCCACCTCCATCCTACCCTTCCACCTCCATCCCACCCCTCCACCTCCATCCCACCCCTCCACCTCCATCCTCCCCCTCCATCCCACCCCTCCACCTCCATCCTACCCCTCCACCTCCATCCTACCCCTCCACCTCCATCCTACCCCCATACCGCCGCAGTTGCTCCTATTCCGCCTCAGCGCCGCTCAACCAGCTGAAGATGCAACCCACACCAAGACCTGTTTAGGCAGTGACGTACCAGACATAGCAGTGATAGGCGGAAGGATGCTCATTACTGCTACAAGTACCTGGTAATGACGTGTGGTGCTCCCAAGCTCAAGGTATTTCAAGAGAAATTTAAGATACCGTTTTGTTCGGATTTTTAACCCGGAGAGTTAGCCACCCAGGATAACCCAAGAAAATCAGTGCGGTTCTTTAACTCACTAAACACTAGATCACATTCTGTTATGTTGTGTATCCTCAGAGATTTCTAATTACTGTATATTTTGTAGAATGGTCTGAAGTATATTTAATTTGGAAACCTACGCGCGCCCTATTATACGACCTAGAGAGCTTGCATTTAGCCACGAGGTACCTACCCGAGCCACGAGGTACCTACTCAAGCCACCTACCCGAGCCACGAGGTACCTATCCGAGCTACGAGGTACCTACCCGAGCCACTAGGTACCTACCCGAGCCACTAGGTACCTACTCAAGCCACCTACCCGAGCCACGAGGTACCTACCCGAGCCACGAGGTACCTACCCGAGCCACTAGGTACCTACCCAAGCCACCTACCCGAGCCACGAGGTACCTATCCGAGCCACGAGGTACCTACCCGAGCCACTAGGTACCTACCCGAGCCACTAGGTACCTACCCGAGCCACGAGGTACCTACCCGAGCCACGAGGTACCTACCCGAGCCACTAGGTACCTACCCGAGCCACTAGGTACCCACCCTAGCCAAAAAATAAACGTAATACTCACCACGGAAGGAGTGAGCGTAGGTGCCCATGTTGGTAAGTATCCTCAGCTCACTTAACAGTGGTAGTACTCTGTAAACCAATGAAAAGGTACACATGTAATTCTAATTTATCCGTTACTACAATATACACAAAAACTTTAATTAAACTTAGGCCTTAACAGTAGTTTTCTGTAAAAATGATTTACAGAATATAATAGCACCTATAATTAAGTTACAAATCTTACTATAGAAAAATATTTTTATTATTATAATCAAAAAGAGAGCGCAAAGCCACAAGGGCTAAACAGCACTGTAGAAAGTAGAAATCTAAAATTATTGTAAAAAGGGACATTTCTAGCCCTCCGTTGCAAAAAAAAAAAAAAAAAAAAAAAAAAAAAAAAAAAAAAAAAGATGGGTAAGCATTACGATGTAAAGTGTAATTAACATATAATTTTTTTTTTTACTTCATGTTATAAGGGTCATAATGGATACATGTTACTTATATTCGACTTTTTGTTGCTATCCTTGGTAATTGTAAGAAGCCAAACATTGTGTAAATGTAACTAAAACCTACTTAAATGCATAAGAATTTTACAATGGTGTTAAAGACATTTTATCCTAGGATTATCTATGTAATTTACACATACCTTATTGTACTAACCAAGGATAAGTGGAGTTAAACAATGCGACTTACTCCCACAGGTGTCACAATGACAGTGTAACGAGAGCTACACAACCCAGTCCACTATTACATAATGTAAAGGGCATAATACCGTGACTGGAACAATAAACAGATAATCCGCATATAGGAGAGAGGAGCTTACGAAGACGTTTTGGTCCGACTTGGACCAGTGACTAAATGTCCAAGCCGGACCGAAACGTCGTCCGTAAGCTCACTATATTTCTGTAAAGCACTAAAACCGTTTAGATCATTCAGAACGGTGGTAGAGGACTGATCATGAGTCTACAGCACGCTAATACAACTACCCAGCTGTGACAACTAGCCTTCACTAAGCTAGAATACTCACCTTTAACAGCTGAAGATGAGGTTTAGTGGTGGAGGTGGTGAGTGTTGATAATGATGGTGGTGGTGATGTGAGTGTTGGAGCTGGCTCCTCTGCTGCACTTCCAACACTGCGCACACAAACAATTTACCTCAATATATCTTATTAAATTCATATATACTTTCTGCTTAAGTCACAGAATAATAACAAAATAATGAAACTATGCCTTAAGACATGTTCTAACGATAGTACAACGTTTATGAGTGCAAGAATAATGTAAACAATAAAACTATAACTGGCTCCACTACTAGGAGCAGTTGCCTCTCCCATCCATATTACACTATTGGTCTGCCTATATTAGCCTCTAAACTCTTGCCCACTGTGTCTTTATAAGATGAATTTAACGTTCTTTTTAATTGTGCATTGTATGGGATCTCTAATTACTATATATATCATACAATCATCTGATATAAAGAATTGTTTTGAATTTGTGGCGTTGCCAGTTTGGTAGTTCAAACTCCAGGCGTGTTAGAACGTGCTGTGATGTGTTAGTACGTGCTGTGACGTGTTAGTACATGCCGTGATGTTAGTACGTGCTGTGACGTTAATACATGCTGTGACGTGTTAGTACGTGCTGTGACGTGTTAGTATGTGCTGTGACGTATTAGTACTTGCTGATGTGTTAGTACGTGCTGTGACGTGTTAGTATGTGCTGTGACGTTACTACGTGCTGTGACGTGTTACTACGTGCTGTGACGTGTTACTACGTGCTGTGACCTGTTAGTACGTGCTGTGACGTGAATACTTCACTACGTTGTATACACTGTCAGAGAGTATATATATAAATTTACCAGTGTCTGTATATACATAAACTCAATGGAAATAAGTCGATGACTTTTTTTTGGGGTTATCCTAGGTAATCTAAACCGTACTTAAGTGCGCCTGTGCTTAAATAAACATTACTTAGTTAATCTCAAAACAAACAAATTTTATTTCTTTGTGTACTATACAAAATGTAGTTTACATGAAATAAAATATTGTTAAGCACAAAGAAAGTCACTAG